TTTGCACTGGAATCCTCCAATGTAAACTATATTTGGCATTGTTGGTCGAGGGAAATCAAACACAAAATCTGACCTGAACAGCCAGATGTCTGCATCCTGAAGCAGTGAGACRATATYRCATCCTCCTTCTATATACTTATCACACATAGCATTGTAAATAGGTCCCAAMAAGAAGTTCTGYTGATACCAAATGATGCTGTAGAAGAACCAGTTTTTGACYCTYTGGATGAAAGTCATTTTGTCAGTAAAACCAGATCCCGGAACTGGAATGTAGGAGAATGGGGAGGGGGCCATCACAAAGTGGCCCTCTCCACTGGTRATCCAGCGTACATTGAGAACTAATGGCAGTTTGAGATATTYAGCTAACACAACTCCTGGTGCTATTCCTGGATCAGTGAGAACCAAATCATAGTGGGATTCTGTTAGGCGTTTAAATAGTTTAGGACTTTCAAAGATTTGAGWTAAACCTTCACACCAAAGAGAATGGCCTCGAGCTATCATGGAAAGGAATGTCTTGGTGAGCTTGAAGAAAGTCAGCAGTGAAGCTCCTTCTTGGTTCACCTAAAATATAAAAAGTATTTAGCATAAAGGACACACTTATATAACCAAATACATGCATCTCTGCTCTCATACCCTCATTTGTTCTTCTATGAAGTCATCAAAGAAGTCCTCCACATCTTCTTTCATTTCAAATGAAATTGACGTGTACAGGGGAGATTTTTCTGCAATGTACCAGCTGGCAGAAGGTCTGATCACAGTGATGTTGTGTCCCCTGGCATGAAGTTCTTCCAGGAGAAYTTTCATATTGATCCAGTGACTTCCATCTATGGGGTACACTAGAATGTTTCCCCCGTCACAGTGTGGAATGAAGAAACTGAGACATAGACTGAAGAAYACAAATACTCCAAACACATGAGKCAAAAGCATGACTCCTGAATGTCAAAGACAGGAAGAAATGTCTCTGATCCACTGGTTTTTCAAAAAATAATTTTCAAATAAGWATAAGAGTTACAAAATATCTAGTACTTCCATTGTCTGTACTATTCCAGTCAAACCTGCTTCAGAAATTCATGCATCTGCGATGAGCARAGGCGCCGGTTTTACTGTGACATGAGCTTTACAGTTTGTTCAAGAGATCCCTCTGATACTGTATTTGGGTTCAAAGTTCAACCTTACAGGCAACCAACCCTTACACATGACAAAGGGCACTTTTACATAAAGCTGTCGTGAACAATACCATGAACTTTTTTCTGCTCATGTCATTGCAGCTTTATGTTATTTAGGAGCAAGCTGTAACCCACAGATTTATGTCCTATAAATTTGTGAACTTGCTACTTGCTGTTCAAAAAGAACAGGATTTGTGACATTTAAATCATTAACCTCTAACTCATCAGTTTTTTATTGCAGGCTACAGGTGTAATGATTAACTGAAGGGGGAACAATACTACTCTAGATTTGAATGTGAGTTTATTCTAAATCAGGTCAAAAGTACTGTTTTTATTATTATTTAAAGGATGAATAAAATAGTCCTTTACTTGTCTCTCAACAGATGATCACAGTTTGTTAAAGCAGCACAAAAATTAACCAGAACACATAACAAAAACTGGTAGAAACTACTAAGTGTTGTACATTATCAGCCATGAAATTAGTCATAAAGAACAGAGTAATGAAGAAAGAAGAAATCCACCTAAGTATCAGATCATGATCGTTGAGTCTCATCAGTTCAAAAGTCACTCAATTCCAGCCCACAGACAGGGACACGATGTGCTGAGAGAGTTTATGAGAAGTGGATTGTGTGAAAAGCAATGATCCTTTATAAGTCTTCATGGATCATTTTTATTTAAGTTCATATGAAAAAAAAAATAAGAGGGTCATTTTCATCTTTTTTAAATAAGAAGATAAACATTGTTTACATTAGTGTTGCACTTTACCTTTCATTCATCACACCACCCAGAAACTGCTCTGTAGGTTACAATACTTTGCTGAACCCATTATGACACCCCTATAGACAGTAACTCATAAAATTCAAATGATATGTTATTAAAATTGTTGTTCCAGCAAGTCTCTGCATTGTGTAATTTAACCAATCATTCAAAAGCACCAAAGTAAGAAAAGATTTCTGAGTGAAAATATTTTATCAGTACACATTTATACCAGAACCCTGTTTGTTTTATCACTAGACCAGATCAAGACAAAGTGACATGTTGCACTAATTGATGTGTGACAGAAAGAGGAAAAAATTGCTSCTTTTAGAATAATTCAAGGGTTGTATGACTACTTTTGTGAAAGGATGAATGAGACATAATAAATACCTGTATAATCACCCTGAAAAAGCACTTTTTATAAATGTAAAATATTTCAACACTATAAGTAAACCATTATAAGTTGGATTTCAGTTTATCCCAACAGTTACTGTATATCCAAACTATGTTCTAATAAAATAATAAATAACAACTAAATGTTGTGAAAGTGATTTTATTAAACTTTATGTATGTTAATAACTACAGTGAAAAATGAATTACCATATTTATTCGTGTATAATATGATCTCATGTATAATACGACCCCCCTTTTTTGAGCTTAAAAAGCATAAAAAATTTAATTCTCAAACTACCTCCAATTTCATACAGACTTCAAGATTTTTCAGCCTTTGCAGTCTTTATATGTATCAGTAAAATGATCATTGGACTGTTCATTTTATTTTAACAACATATGTACTAAAAGGTATTTTGACAACAAATATATATCAGCTGTAGCAGCATCATATGAATTCTGTTATTTTACACATAGTCCACCAGGATGCACCAACACAAAAGTCAGAGACTTCACATGAGATTTGGGCCATCTTCAAGGGGAAAAGCAGATTACTTCCTACTCGCGAGTGCCCCCTCTGGTGGGGAAACATTTTTCAGGGATAAAAACCTTTTCAGAACACCGGTAGAYGGCAGCCATTACAGACCACCATGTGTTTGTTGTTGTTCCAGCAGCGGCTCGGTCACACGCTAATGTCTTTAGTTCACTATCATTACTAAGCTGCAGGACTGCCCCCCCCCCTTTTTTTTTCATATCATATCACCTGCCTGGATCTGTTATTATCTCGCTCTGAATCACAACGGTGTGTCACAAGTAAGCGTGCTTCAGCTGCATTTTACGTCATGGTCTCATTTCCGGACTCAGACATTTTGTGAATGAAGCTGGTTAAAATACATAAGTAAAAATATTTATCCGAGTATAGTATTACCTCCCAACTTTATGGATGATTTTATGGATTAAATTTTACATATTATACTTGAATAAATACGGTAGGTTTATTTGAAGCTGTCAATCCAACAGGCAACTTAAGTGCGTACAGAGTTATCCGAAAAATACAGCAAAATTTGGTAAAAAAAAAAAAAAAAAAAAACGTTTGTTTCAACGCAAACTTTGATGAAAATCCAAATATTTAAAATCAAATAAAATAATTTGTGGTAAAAAATTAACCAAATTCAAACAAATTTGTACAAAGATTAGTCGTGGATTGGAGTCAGCTAAGCACGTAAATAAATGTAAGTCAGTTTTGTTTGATTTTTGTGTTCCTTCTTCTGCAGCAAAGCAATCTAATAACGGCATAAACAGACAAAAAGAGCACAGCTACTACAGCCATTAAAAAGAGTAGTACATCTATACTGTAGTAGGAGTACCATGGCATCTTATATGCTTCTGTGCGCAGATGTCCAGCTCCTTTATGACGCATCACATACTCTACCCAGAAGATAGCCTTCTCCATGGGAGATATTGGTTGATCTCTATGTAAACGAGACAGTCTTTGCATGTTCTGTCTGTAGCTGTCTTTATAAAGCACTTCTTTAACACTTGATTCAAATGTGTGGCCATTGATTTCAGCTAACTGAAGGATTTTTGCAGCTCCTCTTTCCTGCAGACGTAGAAGGTTGTCATACTGGTCAAAGAACAGAGGAATAC